AACAAACAAATGTGATTTTATATAATAATTAAAAAATTATTATCGTTGTATTAATGTTTAAAATATGAAATTTTTTCTTTTTTTATTGGGAAAATGCCTGCTGTGTAACCTTGTCAACCGTTTTTCTTTTTTAAAAAAGAATTTCCAAGTCGAATGACTATAAAATTTTTTTTAGTAATATAATAGCAGTAGTAGTATTAGTTGTAGTTGTTGTAGTAGTAATTAATTAAACCATCACGGGTGTCAAAGTTAATAAATATTTTTTTTTTTTATTAATAATAAACAAACCATCAAAAAAGAAAAAAAAATGGCATAAAAAGGTTTTTTTATCTTGACATTTTAATCCGTATTATTATACGACATTTTACGATCTAAAAAAAAAAAATTAATTTTTGCACTAAAAAAAAAAGTTTTAGATTTAATAATAATGATGATGGTGGTGAAAGGATTAAAAAAAAACCTGGAATCACGAGATCCTGGAATAAAAAAATGAAAAAAAATCCCACCCAAGTTGATGAGCTACTTATCACAAACACGTAATAAATAATATTTAAAAAAAAAAATAATAAAAACACGCGTGAAAATGTCCCGAAGTACACACGCACACGCACACGCACACACCAATAATTCAACAATTTTTCCTTGAGTGTTGAGCCTAAAAAATTCAGGTTCAGGGGACCCGAACCGCCGCCATTCATGAAAAAAAAAAAAAAAAACGTTTTCGAGTATAAACTCACGATTAAATAAAATAACAACAACAACCAAAAGAAAAAATACAAAATTATTATTATTATTATTATTATTATTATCATCATCATCATTATTATTATTATTTGTTAATTTTCGGACGGTAATTTATTAACACGTTTTTTTTTTTTTTTTTTTTTTTTTTATAAAAATTTACTCTGTTGAATATTTTTTTTTTTTGTGGGTGTGTTCCCGGGTACCTGTCTTGTTACCACTTTTACCTGATTACCAACCGAGTACTACAATAAAATTGATTACAACCAAAAAAAAAAAAAAAATATTTTCACGACAGTTTTTAATTTCTTTTTTTACATTCCGAATAATAATAATAATAATAATAATAATAATGATAATAATGATAACGCGAGAGTATTGAATTGGAAAACATTTTATTAAATAATCTAATAATTTATTGCTAAAGATGTAAAATTTATACATTTTACTGTAAAAATAACTTTAGATTTAAAAAAAAAAAAAACGTTAATACAATAATAATAATAATAGTAATAATAATAATAATAAACATTTGGGGATAAAAAATATTATTAAAAAATTTCATAAATAAATAAATAAATATGGAGGAGGCTTTGGTCGAATGATTATTTGTTACATAATATTTTTGATTTTTTTTTATTTTCTCTTCGTTGTTATTATTGTTTGGTTGTTGTTGTTGTTGATTTTAAAGTTGTTTGCAAGGCCAGTCAGTGACAGTCAGTTCCAGCAAATAATAATAATAATAATAAGAAAAAAAAATTGTTTTGTCATCGATTTTTTATAATAAAATATTATATTCAGACAAATTTTAATTATTAATATTATTATTATTACGTTTCGTTTTTTTTAAAATTAAATTTACCAAACGAACAAACAAACAAACAAACACAAACGATGTTAGTAAAATTTATTTAACCAAACATCATCATTATTATTAATTTTTTTTTTAAAAAAGTCAGTCGTATCAAGTATATATAATATGTAATTCAATGTGAAATAAAAAACCTTTTTCCGGTGGTTTAGTAGCGGGGTGGAGGGAGGGGGTGGGTAAAAATTGATAAACGTTGATTCAACCCTTATTTTAACCAACCCCATCTTATCAACAACCCTTTATGTAACCCTAATTTGTAATTTACTTTTTTTTTTTTTTATCAAACAATGACTTTGGGTTGTTTTTTTTAAAAAAAAAAAACAACCCTAAAATTTTATTTGTTTAATTTTTTTTTTATTATTAATAAATTCAATCAATAATTTTTTTTTTTTTTTTTATTTACAAATTTATTGATTTTTTTTATTTATTAACCCGAAAGATATTTATCAAAGGATAAAAGGAAAAAGGAAAAAAAAATGTCGCAAAGGTAAAAGATTAAAAAGAAAGAAAGAGACCGGAAATGAAAAATACACAAAAGAACCTAAATAAATGTTTGAAGAATTTATTAAAACTTTTTTTTTTTTAAACCTTTATTCAAATATTATTATTATTATTGTGTACAAAAGGGGGGCGAAGAAAAATTTTTTTTGTCTTTTTCGGGGAGATTTCAAACTCTGGGGATTAAGAGACAAACAATTTTTTTTTTTTTTTTGGTTTTTCTTAAAGAAAAACTTTATTATTTATTACTTGTTGTTATCAGAATTTTTGTTCCCTCCCTCTTCCTATCCCTCTCCCTAAACCCTCCCCTTTTCTAAACGACCTTGAAAATTTTACAACGAGACCATTAAATAACCAGAAAAAAATTAATAATAATAATAATTACTTATTTAATTTATTAACAAACAACCACACAAACGATCGAGTATTATTATTATTACTATGTGGAAAAAAAACGATAAATTTAAATTTTAATAAGTTGCAAATTATTATTATTATTTTTTCTTCACACGGATAATAAATAATAATAATAATGATAATAATAATTTTCACAAATTTTTTCTTTCTTTTTTTTTTTCGTATTAAAAATAGAAAATCTTTTAATTAATACTTAAAAGGTTTTCAATGTGCGGATGGATTAAAAAAAGTTGTTTTCAAACAAGTCAGATCGAATGAATATTAATAATAATAATAATGATGATGATAATAATGATAATAATGATAACGATACCACAATTTCAAATGGTTAAATTATTTATTTGACGTTTTTTTTAAATACGAGATGACAAAATTATTAATTACTCGTTACTTTTTTTTTTTCAACGTGTGAATACAAATTTCTTTATCATCATCATCATCATCATCATCATCATCATCATCATCATCATCATCATCATCATCATCGTCATCATCATCATCATCATTATTATTATTATTATTATGGTAAAGAGTTGAAAAAAATTATGTAAGCGTGATTTGAAAAAAAAAAAAAAAAATGTAAAAAAAAAATTTATTTCGACGGAAACGATTTAGAAAAAGGATCGAACGTATATATACATACATAAAGTTATTTTTTTTAAAAGTAATAATAATAATAATAATAATGGTAATAGTAATAATAATAATAATAATGATAATAAACTTTCACAGGTAATAGTTAAATAAGAAACATAAATATAGGTTTTACTGGGTCGTAAACCATATTTCCGTGAAACATGTGTGTATGTGTCGTCGTTTACTTTGAATTTTATTATTATTATTATTATTATTACTATTATTATTATTATTATTATTATTATTCATTACGACAATGATTTTTAATTTTCTATTTCAACCGTCGTGTTTTATATCCGCACGTTCGAAAGTAAATTTCTATTATTATTATTACTTAAAAATAAAATAAAAAAGTACGCCATTTTTTTTTTGTTTAATAATTCATCGTGTATTTAAATAATTATTATTAATTTTCAATACGTTTGTGCGTGTGCGTGCGGGGGGAGGGTGCATGGGGGTGGATGGGGGGAGTAAGAAAATTTTTTTTTATTTTTTGAATCCGAATATTTCCAGTGCGAAATTAATGGGATGATTTTTAAGGGAATGAAATTTAATCGTAACGTTTTTATTACCCACACCGCCTTCTAGTATTTTAATGAATCCTCCAGTTCCGTTGAATCCGCGATCGTAACCGATTATTTGAGTTATGTTGGCAACATTTAACGAACTTTTCGGCGGTGGAAAAATGATTTCTTTCGTTACGAAATTACTCCATATTTTTTGCTTTAAAATAAATAAATAAATAATTAATCCCAAAGTATTTAATAAAAAATAAAAATTAATAAATAAATAAAAACTTACTCTTTTATAAATTACCGTACGTAATAAAAGTTCATCATTAAATTTTCTCACACCGAATACAAAATCGTGTTTTACCATGTTTTTATCATTATTATTATTATCACGAATCGAAGTTGACGTCGTAGTTACGTTTGTGTTATTATGAAAAACATAATAACCATTTGGATAAATAATTTTAGACGGTAGTTGTTGCGAATTTACAGGTGTTTGTTGTTGTTGTTGTTGTTGTGGTTGTTTGAGCGATAAATAAGGATTAATAGGTGGTAAAAAATGATATTGAGAATTCCCATAATAAATATTTATTAAAAGTAAAAAAAAAAACGTTAAATTATATTTAAACATCCTAGAAGAGAGAAAAAAAAAATTAAATTTAAATTTAAATTTAATGCGTGTGTGCGTGTGCGTGCGTGTAAAAATTACACAATTATTATTATTATTATTATCAACGTTAACGATTCGCAAATTATTATTAATAATTTTAACAAATCGATAAATAATCAATGAACAAAAAAAAAAAAAAAAGAAAAATTAAATTGAAATTTTCTTTTTTTTTTTTTTTTGTTCATTCAATTTATTCACAAACGACTTTATCATTATTATTATTATTAACTATTTTTAATAATAATAATAATAACGGAAATTATTTACGTATTGTTATTTATAAAAAAAAAAGAAAAAGTTAATAAATAGTGCGTGAGTGCGAACGTGAAATTTAATGAAAATATTAATAAAATTTACCTTATTTATTATTTAATTTATTAATTAATAACTTAATAATAATAATTATTATTATTACTAAAAAAAATTTAAATTTGTTGCGATGATGATGATGATGATGGAAAATATTAGACTGTTTGTTGTTATCACGAGTTTTAAAATTTTTTTACTTTATTTTATTTGTTTTTATCACTTGACGATATATGGCTAATTGTTTTTTAAAATTAGTAACTTGATGACGTCAAAGATGAGTTTATATAATAATAATAATACTGTTTAAATAATAACTTTTTTTTTTGATTACGTACCTACGGCCCTGATGATCGTGATCATTGTTTTTCATTCCAGAAATAAAAATACGATGAAAGGAGGAGTCGAAATTGTGAGGAGTCCTCAAATATCATATTTAGTCGGATCTTCTCCTATGTGTTCACAAATTCCCGGTTTATCATCGGGACAAACGAAATTATGTCAGTTATATCAGGATCACATGTCGACGGTTGTGAGAGGTGGAAGAGCATCACTTTCAGAATGTCAGTGGCAATTTAGAAATAGAAGATGGAATTGTTCAACACTGGAAGGATTCACGATATTCGGACCGAAAATCGAAATAGGCATGTACGATTTTGTCTCTTATCATTTCGTACCAAACAAGATGTGGGGGGGGGGAGGGAGGCTGGCGTGGGGCGTAGGGGGGGGGGAAAGGGGGGAAAAAGAAAGATGGGATAAAAATAAAATTCAATTTCGTTTTTTAAAAAAAGTTGGAAGCGTTTTCTCGCTGGAAAGGAAATTCATTTCCATCGTACCTTTTTCTTTTTCCATCGGGTTTACCCCCCTTTAATAATTCAATTGAGGCAAGACAACGAAAAGCGAAAAAAAAAACCGTTTCGCTTATAATTTATTTTTATCCCTTTAGACACTCCTTACACAATATAAAAAAAAAAAAAAAAAAATTTTTTTTCTTTTTTTCCCCAGGATTATTTGTTGACGATGATGCATTAGTTTTAGAGACTATAAATCAGTTTCCTCGACGGTCCCTTGTTTTCCGTGGATAATTGCTGATTCCAATATATATATATTTTTCTACATCGTAGACTTTTTCTCTCTCTCTCTCTCTCTCTCTTTCTATGATTTTACAACCGAGGTAGTTCCGGTTATGTTTTTATTATTATTATTTTACATAATAATTTATTACGTTTCGTATTGTTTAACATTTTTTTTCTTCTTCTTCTTCTTCTTCTTCTCCTTCTCTTTTTTCCCGTTTCAATGTTTCATTAATAATTTTTATAAAAAATAATTATTTACATTTTTTTAAAAACATGAAAAATTTGTTGATGTTGTTGTTGTTGTTGTTGTTAATGTTGTTGTCGAATTTAAAAATTTGTAATCGAATAAAATTGAATTTTTTTTAAATTTAAATTTACATGTAAAAATTCGTTGAATAAACTAAATAATAATGATGATATTATTATGATGATGATGATGATGATGATTATGATGGATGACTTATTCAATGTTTGGCAGTGAAACATTTTCTTGATTAAAGATAATATGTTAAAAAAAGGATCAGGTTGTGAAGAACATAATTTTACGACTTTGTTTTATAGAAAAAATAAATGACTTGATTTTATGTTTTTTAATAATTTTTGTATTTAATTTTCAAGGTTTTTTTATTTTTTTTTTTTGTAATTTGAATGTCAAATTTTTATTCCATTATTATTATTATTATTATTATTTAAAAATTTTCCTCTTCTCAATAGGTAATAAATAATATATATAGTATAGTATTTGTTTCTGTAAGGCTAGTTTAAATAGTTAAAATAATTGGTGGAAGAAGTATTTAAATACATCAATCTCAAGACTTTTGGCCTTGGAAATTGTGCGTGTGTGTGTATGTGCGTGTGCGTGTGTGTGTATAGAGCTCCGCCTCGACCTCACTCTTATTAAAAAAAAAAAATTCTTTAAGTGTGTGATAAATAACATAAGAAAAAAAAAAAATTAGAAATTTAAGTCATGCGTAGAGTCGCTAAATTAACAGCTTCAAGCAACAACTTTAAGATGCCTTTAAGTCATTTTAATATATATATATCTTTAGATTTTTTTTTTTAAATATAGCCTCGGCTCGTGTTGTGTTTAGGTACATAAACCTAAACATCGTGACGGACTCATTCAACCTGTGCTCGTTAAGATTATATTAGAGTGTCTTTGCTAGATTTCGGTTCGGCTTTTGGCTTTAAGGCGGTACTTTTATTATTATTATTATTATTTTTTTTTTATAATATATATTTTGCTTCTTTTTATAAAATTTGACAATTTATAAAACATTTTAACAACGTTTTAAAAATATATTATATTTAAAATTCAATTATTATTAAAAAATGTTTCGGTCAATATTTAAATGGTGGATATAAAAAGAAACAAACACAAAAATGTTTTTTAAAAAAAAAATATTTCATCGTTTTTTTGAATGAGGCCAACAAAAAAAAAAAAAAAAGAAAACAAACGTTAAATATAAATGAAGAATGTTGTTTTATTTTCAATGTCTTATAATTTAAAAAATTGATACAAGAGAGGCTGGGCTGCTTTTAACCTTTATTATTATAACAACAACATAGAATGTTTTAAATAGAAAGTATAATTTTTTTTTCTCAAAGTGTTACGTGTGTGTGTGTGTGTGTGCGTGTGTTCGTTGTATTAATGTAATCTTATATAAATTCCAGGTAGTAGAGAATCTGCATTTACACATGCAATCGCATCAGCTGGAATTGCTCATGCTATTTCTCGTGCTTGTAGAGATGGACAATTAAGTTCCTGTAGCTGTAGTAGATCAGGTCGTCCAAAAGATTTACAAAGGGATTGGCTATGGGGTGGATGCGGTGATAATCTCGAATACGGTTACAAGTATTTATTTTTTTAATTAAACCATAAAATTTCGATTTAGAAAAGAAAAAATTTCTTATATATAAATTGATTTTGTCAGATTTACAAAAGAATTCATGGATGTGAAAGAAAGAGAAAAAAATTATAAAAAAGGGACTAAAGAACAAGGGAAAAGGGTTATGAATTTGCACAATAACGAAGCAGGAAGGCGGGTAATTTTCTTTTTTTTTTATTAATTTCCTTGTAGTAATAATAATAATAATAATAAATTTATGACTACGTGATCGTATTTTAACAATCGGTTAATTATTGATTCGTTCAAAAGAAAGATATTATATTATTTCTAAAAATTATAGGCAGTAATTAAAAGTGCAAGAGTGACTTGTAAATGCCACGGAGTTTCCGGTTCTTGTAGTTTAATAACATGTTGGCAGCAATTAGCTTCTTTCAGAGAAATCGGTGAGTTCATATTAAATTTACACGTGGAGATGTTTTATTTAATTAAAAAAAAAATTTTTTTTTCTTTTTTTTTCAGGAGATTTACTTCGAGACAAATACGATGGAGCAACCGAAGTTAAAGTTAACAGACGAGGAAGGCTTCAAATTCGAGATCCACAATATCGTTTACACACAGCAAGCGATTTGGTATACATCGATGAATCCCCTAATTATTGTGTGACTAATTTAAGTGTGGGAGCTTTGGGTGAGACAAAAGTTAAAATAAATACTTGAAATTTACATAAATGCAAACATTTATAACAATTTATATGTTTTTTTTTTTTGGTACTTTTAAATCAGGTACCCAAGGAAGGGCTTGTAATAGAACATCAATGGGTATGGATGGTTGTAATCTTCTTTGTTGTGGTAGAGGATACAACACGCAGAAGACAACAATCAAGGAAAGATGTCATTGCAAGTTTCACTGGTGCTGTCATGTCGAGTGTAAGATGTGTTTGAACACAATTGACCTTCACACATGTAAATAAAAGTGTGTTGTTTAAACGGTAAAATATTTGTAAAGTTAACATGACAGGAACAGGGATCCCACCGGTGCATAAATGGTGTTTTCTTGGCCCTAGTAAAAAAATTTAATTCTATATTTATATACAGAAATCAATGAAAAACAATAAGAAAAAAACTATGGATCAAAAATGCACAAATTCAATTGATGAATTTATTATGAGAATTAAATAAAAAGTTTTTATAAATTTTCTTTTCAATAATGAATAATGAAAAGAATAAAAATACAAAATGATATTATAATTATTTGAAAAATAAATAAACTTTAATTAATAATTTATACTAATTTAATGAAAATATTACAAATGAAGTTCAATGATACATGAAGGATTAAAAAAAAAAAAAAATGTAATTATAATGAAAAATATTGTACATATATATATTTCAGCACCAAATAATTTAGTGTTCTTTTTTATATAAATATAATATTTTTAAGATTTTTTTTAAAACGGTTTTTAATTTATTTTCAGTCGCCATTTTTTTTTACAATAGTTGTTATTATTAAAAAATAGTTTTAAATTTGAAAATTTTATCAGAAATTTTAATAACCGATTTTCTTATCATGCTTTTGTTTAAACTGACAAACCGAACAAAGCTTAATTACCCTTACAATCGTTTTTTTTTTCATTTTTAAATTGAATTATTAATCAGAGCGAGATAATTTTTTGATATTTTTAAAAATACCGTTAAAAATTGTATTGAATTATTATTGCGCCTTTTTTTAAAGTTATTTTGAAATGGCAACAGGACGATTTTTTTTTTATATTAAACTTAAATAGAATATATGAATTGAGGTTTTAAATGCAACGTTGTCAGTTCATTTCGTGTTGTAATATCGTTAATTTAAGATGGCGTTTATTAGTAAATAGTAGACGTAGAAACGGTATAAAATATTTATTAAGCTCAAAATTTGTCCATTTTAAGTTGTTCTCATGACGTAATGCAATGTCGGGGGATGATTATTGTGATTTTTTATTTAAAATAGTGCTCATCGGTGATTGTGGAGCTGGAAAAACTTGCGTTGTCCAAAGATTCAAAACTGGAGCATTTGTGGAAAGGCATGGAAATACAATTGGTGTTGATTTTTCTATGAAGAACGTCGTCGTCGATGGAAAGAAAGTCAAAGTAATTATTTATTTAACATTTTTATTTTCATTTCTAATGTACACGTATTGATTTTCAACGTTTAACATCATCTTTGTTTTTATAATTATACGTCTTTCGTTATGTTTTTTCTTATTTGGGGTGGAGTAAATTATTTCTGTAAAAAAATCGGATACAAGAGGTCAGACACAGGTCAATATTGGAATAACAAAAAACTGTTAAGAATTAATATGTATAAAGCATACAAATTATTCTCTTAACAATATGCCTTCTAAAAAAAATTGTGTCTTATCACATAATTGATCTCTTCATTAGTTGTTTTTAAAAAAAAATTTTAAGTATATTCTAACTTGTATTAAATGAAACTCTTAATGTTTTCAAAAAAAAATTATCGATTGTTAAATGGTGGGAATCTTTTTTTTTTTTAATTTTCATTAAATGAGTTTTGTAAATTGATGTTATACTGTGATTATGTAGTACAAATTGTCATTTGAAACAAAAATAAAATAAAATAATTAGAATTTTCACTCAATTATTATTATTTTTAAAAACATTTTTATTAAACAATTTTATTAATCCTTTAAGTGAAAGTGTATTATATTCATTTTAAAAAAAAAATTATTAGCAACAAGAATTTCAGGTTATGCGAGTTTGTGGTTGAAAAAATACATAATTAACTATTAATATTTCTACATATAATGTTCTTGTTTGACATTCTTAAGTAATTTAAATAACTACTTGTTTTTGTAAATTTTATCTAAATAGTTTGCTAAAGTAATTAAATTTTTCTTAACTAATTAAATAAATTTTCCTCAAAATCGAAACTTTTTTTTGCGATGAAGGTTTTCATTTCGAATTGGATATTTCGAAACAATTAAGTATATTCTTATGTTATTATTATTATTTTTGTATTTTAGTTACAAATATGGGACACAGCAGGTCAAGAAAGATTTAGGACCATCACACAAAGTTATTATAGATCAGCCAATGGAGTTATAATCGGTTAGTTTTTGAATAAAATGTAAAAATTAATTTGAATCGATTTCGATTAATTACATGTATTATTATTATTTTCTTAGTTTATGACATTACAAAAAGATCATCATTTTTGAGTTTGGAAAGGTGGATAGAAGAAGTGAGGAGATATGCAGCCACAAATGTATTGTTAGTTTTAGTGGGTGAGTGAGTTTTAAAAAAAAAAAAAGAAATTGTTTATTATTTATAATGTTTAAGAGAAATCAAACATTTTTGTAAATAGAATAAAATTACAATTGTATTCCACGCATCAATTCAATCACATTAATCTCATTTGATATTTTTTGCCAAGGTTTTCCTTTCTTTCTTTCTTCTTATAATAACCTGATATAATAACCTGATACAAAATTGAAGTAGCGAAAACGAAAAGAAATCTTTTTAATTGTGTGTAATTTTTTCTTTATCTTTCTCTCTCTCTCTCTCTCTCTCACACACACACACGCATTTTCTAAACGTTTTTTTTTTTTTTTTGATTAATTACAGGTAATAAATCAGATTTGGAAAATTTACGTGAAGTTGAATTTTCCGAAGCTGAAGCCATGTGCGAATTCATACCGGAAGTTTTATGCGTTTTGGAAGCTTCTGCCAAAGAAAATACAAATATAGAAGATGCCTTTTTGTGTTTAGCAACAGAGCTTAAGGTGAGAATTTTCTTTTCTTTTTTCTTTTATATATAAATTTTTAAATTTTTTTTTTCCCGATTTAATATTTTTAAAAATTTTCAGAGGCGTCACGACGTGAGCTTATGTTTAGGTGATGGCGACAAGAGTACAATATCTCTTAAGGAAGGAAAATCGGTGAGCGATTGTTCAGAATCCACATGCAGCCTTATTTAATTAGAATAGTCATTATTATTATTATTATACCACACACACATTTATTAATTAACACATTAAATTAACATTATAATCGATCGAATCGGCATAAAATTTAAAAAAAAAAAAAAGCGATAATGAAATAACCATATTAATCTCACACACACAAAATTATGAATTTTAAGATAGAAAAAAAAAAAAATGGGAAATTTTGTTTGTTTGTTTGTTTGTTTGTTAATTTGTTATTATTATTAATTTATTGTTAATTTTTAAAATGATTGATTGTACAAAAAAAAAAAAAAAAACAAATAGTTGTAAAATAGGAAAATAATTAATTAGCAATAATAAAATATTATTATTAATTTAATATTTAGATTTTAAACACGAATTTTAACCGTTAAAAAATAGTAATAAAAATTAACATTATTTGATACATATGTACCCGTCACAAAAAAAATTATGTAATAACGCCAAGTAACGTTTTTTATTAAAAAAAAATTAATTCACAAAAGTAATTAAAGCATTACGTAATTTACCTCTTTAAGAAAATTTCAATTTTTTTTTTTTTTTGTGAAATTTTCATTTAATTTTTTTTGTATATTTACCTTCATTTTCTTTGTTATGTATATATATGTATCAGAAACAGAGTATTATCATGCACTTATTATTATTATTATTTTTTTTTTGCCATATCAATATGATTGTAAAAAAAAAAAAAAATTATGGTTGTTGTTGTTGTTGTTTTCCCATTTAAAATCAAAACAAACATCCCACCGTTATTGGTGTTAAGAATTAAAAAAAAATTTTATTTGATTGCTTTTGTAACGAAATTAATATTAATCACTCGGTCTTTTTAAATTTAGTTTTTTTATTAATTTATTTATTTAAAAAAAATAATGATAATAATAATAATAATAAGAAATAATCACGTTTATATTAAAAAATAAATAAATGTATATATTGTAAATTATTATTAGCTCAATCATAAAAATAAAAAAATAAAATTTTACGAATCCGTCTGTAATTATAGAATTAATAATAATAATAATAATAATTAATTATTTAATTAATTATATATTTAAATCGTAGTTAAATGAAATAAGATTGCATCCGTAAGATTTTGTTTTGTTTTTTTATTTATTGTTATAATTTATTTAAATAAATAAAAAATAAAATTTAAAATTTTTTTTTTCTTTTTTTGCCATATTTTTTTTTTTCAATATAATAAATAATAATAATAATAATAATTTTATTTATTTATATATTAATTATTTAAAATCTTGTTTTAAATTACTGTTGGTTGTTTAATGTTTTTAACCGTGTTATTATTATTATTATTAATGTTATTTTTATTAAAAAAAAAAAATAATACAAATTAATAATTTTTTTGCTAGCGTTTTATTTATGTTTTTTTTTTAAAATGAAATTTTATTTATAATTGTTATCATTATTATTATTATTATCATGTATCTGTCTTTTATTTATTTGTCACGTTGGATCATTGTAATTAAAAAAAAAAAATTATTGTGTTATTGTTAATTATGTTAATATTATTATTATTATTAAAAAAAAAGAGAAGGATAAAATAAAAAAAATAAATAAAAATAAAATTACAAAAATTTATTTATATTGTAAAATCAATTTGAAAATCACATGAGAGAGAGAGAGAGAGAGAGAGAGTGAAAGAAAGAAAGTTAGAGAGAGAGAGAGAGAATTAGGTTTACATAATTTTTTATTTGCACATAAAATAAAAAACCGTTGGATGATTTTGAAATATGTGATATGTTATTATCATTATTATTATTATTATAAATATATATATAAGCTTTACAATGAATTTTCACATTTCATACATGAAACATATTTGAAAGTTTTTAAAAGGTGGCGATGTGGAGGTGGGGGGTGTACGGATGTGCCACCACGAAAAAACAAAAAATATTCCAACAATAATATTTTTTTTTTAAAAGGAGGTGGGGGTGCCAACTTTGCAGTGAAAATTATTTATAATAATATGCGTCGCGTGATTACGAAAAAAAAAAAAAAAAAATTTTTTTTTCCTTTTTTCCTTGCCTAATTTCTAATATTTACAATTTTTTTTTTTTTTATTGACTTATTTTTTTTTATACGTTTTAATAATAAATAACACATCATCGGATTAATTAATCCTCTTAAATAAATAAATAAATAAACAAACGAAAGAAAAAAAAAAAACGGTTTTATGATTTTTTTTTGTTGAAAACATTCGAAAACCGTTAAAAATTTGAAAATTTTTTTTTTTTTACCTTATTAAGCGTTCGATTTTTTTGAAAAAAAAAAACGTTAAGTGACGTATTAAGCATTTTAATTTAAAAATAATGATAAATAAATATTAATAAATAAATAATAATAATAATAATAAATAAAAAACCGTTTGAAATAAGTTCTTCTTTCTTTTATACTAATTTTACTATAATTATTAGGAAAAGTTTTTTTTTTATCAATCTTTTACTAACTTTTTCTTTTTTCTTTTTTTTTTTTTTATAAACAGCTCAAATTTTTCTTATTGACTTTTTTCTTCTTATAAAT